TTTTTTGATGATGTGGCAATAATATATATTTTAATTATGTTATATAAATAAATAAAAATAACACGTAGATTAATATTTATAGTTTAAATAAAAACAAAAAAAAAATTACCTAACTACCCTCACCCACCCAATCCCTCTTATTCCCCTTCTTTCTTTCTCTTTCTTTCTTTCCTGCCCTGGGTCTCCACCAGGCTAGATTCCGATGGCTGCAACAAACCCAGCCTGCTGGGTCTCGTCGGAACCCAGCCTTGCTGGGTTCAGGGAGACCCAGCCCTCGTCGAACCCAGCCTGGCTGGGTCTCCCTTGCTGGGTTCCGACGAGACCCAACAAGCTGGGTTCGACGCTGGGTTTCCCCAAATCTAGCAAGGTTGGGTTTCGACGAACCCTGCTGGGTCTCGTTGAACCCAGCCTTGCTGGGTTTCCCCGAACCCAGTTGCTAGGTTTGACGAGACCCAGCTAGCCTCTGATGAACCCAACTTTGCTATTTCGATGCTGGATTCATGTTTTTTCATTCTTCTTTTGATTTTCATTTCCAATTGTTAATAAATTTGAGAGTTGATTTACAATTTGATTGTATTTTTGTTGGAATTTGATTAGAGTTTGATTGATATTGTTTATTGAAGGGTTAATTTGATTTGATAAGATTTACTAAGTTTGAGGCTTTAATGAAACCCAGTAGCTGGGTTCAATTTCTCAAGTTCTCTTGAGAAAAGAGAAGAAGAAGAAATGGGTTAAGATCGGTTTTGTAGAGGAGTGGAGATGAGAGAGCATTAAGAGAAGAAGAAGAAATGGATTAAGATTGATTCTGCAGATGGAGTGGAAATTGATTTTGCAGAGAGTGAAGATGAGAAAGGAATATGACATGTCGCAAAAAAAGTCCAAATCAGCGCCTTTTTAAGTTATTTTTGCCATGTCATAAAAAAAATATAAAAAATGCCATGTGGCTGAGTTAACGGCAAAAATTGACAGAAGGACTAATGGAGTGCATTTCGTATAGTTGAGGGATCAAAAAAGTGCAAAAAATTGTTAAAAGACCAAAAATGTGCAACTCACTAAAGTTGAGGGACCAAATTTAGCATTTAACCTTTTAATTTTCAAATTATTTGGATTGGGTCATTATTCTGAGGGTTAAATGCTAAATTTGGTCCCTCAACTTTAGTGAGTTGCACATTTTTTGTCCTTCAACAATTTTTTGCACTTTTTTGATCCCTCAACTAGACGAAATGCACTCCGTTAGTCCTTTTGTTAATTTTCGCTGTTAACTCGGCCACATGGCATTTTTTATATTTTTTTTATGACATGGCAAAAATAACTTAAAAAGGCGTTGATTTGGACTTTTTTTGCAACATGTCATCTTCCTTTCTCATCTTCACTCTCTGCAAAATCAATCTCCACTCCATCTGCAGAATCAATCTCCACTCCATCTGCAGAATCAATCTTAATCCATTTCTTCTTCTTCTCTTAATGCTATCTCATCTCCACTCCTCTACAAAATCGATCTTAACCCATTTCTTCTTCTTCTCTTTTCTTAAGAGAACTTGAGAAATTAAACCCAACTACTGGGTTTCATTAAAGCCTCAAACTTAGTAAATCTTATCAAATCAAATTAACCTTTCAATAAACAATATCAATCAAACTCTAATCAAATTCCAACAAAAATACAATCAAATTGTAAATCAACTCTCAAATTTATTAACAACTGGAAATGAAAATCGAAAGAAGAATGAAAAAACATGAATCCAGCATCGAAACAGCAAAGTTGGGTTCATCGGAACCCAACTGGGTCTCGTCGAACCCAGCAGTTGGGTTCAGGGAAACCCAGCAAGGTTGGGTTCGACGAGACCCAGCAGGGTTCGTCGAAACCCAAGCTGGGTTTTGGGAAACCCAGCCGAGCTAGGTTTGACGAGACCCAGCAGGGTTTGTCAGAACCAAGCCTTGCTGGGTTCGACGAAACCCAGTCTGTTGGGTCTCGTCGGAACCCAGCAAGGGAGTCGTCGAAACCCAGAAAGGGAGACCCAGCCTTGCTGGGTTCGAC